CGCAGATGCATCCACTCCCTGTGACTTATGATCTTCAATGAAACTGTTTTGTATTTCTTTATTACTCCTTTGTCTCACACCTCTGCTCACTGTTTCTATTATGCTTTTCTTGTACTTTCTTCTCTTGCTTCGCGTGCTACACGGAATGTGGCGACTTGAACTTCCGCACATTTGTGCAAAGTTCTATGTCGAAAACAGACAGACAGACAGTTAATCCGGACAGTAAGCTGTCTCCACCGTACTTAAATACCTCTGGAGTCATTCCATCAGGTCCCGCTGCTTTGCCTAGTTTCAGATTGGTGACAGCTTTAGTAACCTCAGTTAGTGACGGAGGACCTGTGTCTATATCCCATTCAGGGAGGTGTTGGATGCTCGGAAGGTTGAGCGTGGCTGTGGGCAAATTAAACTGCTCCTCATAATGCTCTTTCCAACGATCCAGTCGTCTATCCTGTGAGCTAATTATAGTGCCATTTTTTTCCGAGATTGTCTCACTAATGATTTGTCTTCTCCCACCCGTTTCCCTGATGAGTCCAAAGAGTTGCCTGGTGTTGCCTATCCTCAAAGCTTTCTCCATCTCTTTGGCTTTTGTCGCCCACCACTGTTCACGGTCCTTGCGGAGACTTTTCGTAAGTTTCCTCTTGTGCAGCTTTCGCTCCTCATTGAATTCGGAGCTCGCCGGAATAAGTCTTCTAGCATCTATCAGTTCGGATGAGGCGGTGGAGATCCAGTGGTTTTTACTCACCTTTGGGTTTACCTTATTCACAGCTTTTACAGCTGTATCTATGGCTGCCTGGATATTTTTCCAAGCTTCTTCAGGGTGAGCACAGCTGTCGAACACAGATATGTGTTTAGCTAGTTCTTCCTGAAATACGGATTTAGTTTCCTGATCGAGCTGGGGACGTGATGGTTTTACCGCCAGCTGTTTCCTACGTCCGTTCAGTCGTAAGCACACCCGAGCGCGGACCAGTGCATGGTCGGTATCTACGCACGTGTTCCAGAAGGAGCGACAATCTCCTACCGACCCACGCCAACGATAGCTTATTGCTATGTGGTCTATTTGTGTCCAGCGTTGGTTTGATGAAGGGGGTCTCCAAGTCAAACAGTGTCTTTCCTTGTGTTTGAAGTTAGTGCTTACAAGAAACAAATGATTATCAGAGCAGAACTGTAGGAGGCGGTCACCGTTGTCGGTTCGCTGGCACGGAGCTCCATAGGTGCCACCGACATCCTTCTCAGATTGACACAATTTCCCTACTTGAGCGTTAAAGTCACCAGCTAGAACGACTATGTCTGAGCGTTTAGCCTTTCCACCAAACTAGACAGCCTTTGGTAGAACTCATCCTTCGTTTCATCTGAACTGCAGTCAGTGGGGGCTTAGGCGGAGATTACGAAAAGGCATCGGCGAGTAGTGCAGTGCCTCCTCCTTCTTACTGATCCGTTCAGGCGGACAGCACACATTCGGCTATCTATTGGGACTTTTTTTAGCAATGTCTTTTCTGCCCTAGTACTCAAAGCTATCCCTACGCCAGCTAATCCTCGTGAACTAGCTGTGGCATCTCCTGACACCCTCAGGGTGGATTTTGCAGATTCAACCTGTTGGCCAGGTGGGGTTAGGTGAATAACCACACTTGGGTCTTGTATGCGTGTTTCTGAAACACAGCATACATCAATGGCTTGTGATGCCAGGGTCTTGCATAGTGATGCTTGTTGTCCTATTTGGCAAAGTGTCCGAACATTAAGAGCTCCTATATGAAATTGGTGGCGCGGCTTTAAGAGGCTGTCGGTGGTGGTTTTTTGGCTTCCATCGTTTTTAGTGGACGCAGAGTGGAGAGGAAGTGGAGAGCTATCAAGTCGAGGAGTTGCATCAGTGGAAGGAAGGCAAGATGATAGAGATGAAGATGAAGACAAAGATGAGTGAGTAATAGAGAGGTTTCGTGTGCATTTCGGATTGTGAGGGCGATTGTTACTTCCCGGCTGCCCACACCGTGGAAGTTGGTTGCGTGACCGCAGAGCCCAAGGGACAACTGCTTGAGGCCGGTCACACGCGGCCTGTTTTTGTTTGTTCTTTTTTGTTTGGTGTGTCTCAGTAGCAGATTTATCACTCCTGCCCTGTGACACGGCAGCAGGAAGCGCGGTCGTTGTTAATCCGGGCCACGGCCGATCCGGCATGAAATTTTGTAATTTTGTATTGGACATGATGTTGGATTGGGTAGCTGCTTTTTGTTTAACCGCTATCCAAACAACCTGCCTGGCATGGTAGAACCTCAAGAGACATAAGTCTCAGCCAGTATAGCTTGATTAGGTCATTGCGGTGTTCAAGCCCGACCACCACGTCAAGGTAGCAGCTTTCGGTCGGGCTGTCTGGGCCAGAACCAGGAAATCCTCCACCAACTTCGGCAGTAAACAGACAAAGTGTCCTTCCGTAATTTAGACCATTTCGATCTGGCTAGCAAGCAGTGCTGGTTGGTGTGAGTGTTATCTAGCTGCTACTGGTTACCCGACTCTAATCTCTCTGTTGTACCTAATTCAACCTGTGAGACTAGCTAGAATCTTCAGCTCCCTCTCACACACACACGCACACTTACACCCACAAAGCGTAGCTCATAGTCCGGCACATAAAAATCTGTTTCAGGCAATTAAGTTCTAAGTAATTTGATCTCTAACTAACTGGTTTCACAAATACTGTCTTCTGCTACTTAACAAAACTGAAAAAGGAAACGACAGAATTTCTCTTTGTGCTAAATTGATTTGCACAATGATATGTATTCTCCTAAAGGAAATAAGATATCTTCCCTGTAGATGGTTTTTCTTATCAGTGTGTCTAGTGACCAGTATTGCTTATGGTATCCTAATTTGTGTATGAATTAAAAGGAAATTCAACTTACATGAGGTGAATACTCAAATAACAACTACGTGTTTCTATTTTAACCGCTTAGGTGGCAGTACAGCCTTTACAATATTTAGATTAAATAGAAATTGAGTATAACTGTATATATTCGCAGGCGTTGTCTAACGCTCATTCTACCTGTTGGAGAGTGTGGAGATATAGCTCATTGGTTTGAGTACTCAACTCCAGGGTTCTATTCCCGTTTCGCCTACTTTAGCATAGACAACTGGGTAGTATCACTAATGTGTGACTCATTAGTCCAGTAAGTAACACATACGTTACTTGTTTGTGCGCTCTGTCTATATTGTTTTCTTCGTATACACAGGTGTTTTAAACATAGCATGTGACTCCACGTAGTCTAAAAATATACTTATCATCCGAGTACATTCTCAACATAGTGTGGCTTGTGCTGCTGATAAGATCTATCAGTAGTATATAAGGGGACGTTCATCGCATGAAAATATCAAATAGCAGAGAGATAGATTGGAGATCAAAGAAAGCGAATGAACCAGCGTTGCGGTAAAACATGATTGACACGGAAAGAAGACAAAGAAACACGATACTATGGGTAGAAGTAGCACAACAAGCAAGATCTATGCAAATGATAATTTCCACGTAAGGTGTACATGAATTGACAATATAGAGATAGCGAATTCCAAATAAACACTTCCGTTACCAAGTCTTTTGTCATCTGTATGCTAGTTTTCAGGTTAATTTTGCATTTCCTGTTGATCACTGTTATGTTAGACAGAAATGATCGATCTCTGTTGAAATGTCGGCTCCTAGTATGAACACTGGCATTGTCTAAGGATTATCATGGTTATTTTGTTGATGGTGACTAACTGTAGAATCAGGATGCACATTTCGTCTTATTTGGGACTCGTCAAGTGAGTGTATCTGCATTTCCAGTAAGTTATGCTGTTCCCGTCGTTGCTTCCCAGTGAGAATGCCACCAGTTACCTGGGAATACAGATACATGCAGTTGATGAACTCAAAATTTGGACAATACGCGCAACGTGTATTCCACTGCTAGTGCACAACTAAGGAAAATAACTTCACAACATGTTAGTGCTTTAATAGGCACTGGAAGCAAAGCTACACCAGTGAAATGAACCACTTTTTGCAATCGTTTGTCTTTAAAGTAGAGTGCAGTTGTGACCAAAAAGTAACCAATGTATGGGGTGATACATTTTTAATATTAACAGAAAAAATTTACTAATGTTTATTTCTCAGGTAAGGGAGGTAAGTATTGATTGCAGATGTGTTTGTGTGTGTGTGTTCGGGTTTAAGCTAATGTCCACCTGCAGAAAAGTTGTTTTTCAACCCTTGTAAACTATTCCGTAGTAAGTTTCATACGGATTACAATCCATTTTCTATCCAGAAACAAATTCTCAAAGTCATTATCACTATGTCTATCTACTGCATATTGAAATCAGCTACAGACTATATAGAGTTGCATTAGACTGACTTTCCTTCGAAGTGCTTCTTGTGATGTTACTTGAAGCTGTTTTCATGTTATGTAAGTGACCCACCCATCTTCACTTCTTTGTTCAGCAGTAAGTTCTACGTTGGTTGGCTGCCAAGTACATATAGATATGATCCCAATTGATTTTAACGATGGAAACAACTATCTGGTGTTTTGATGAATTCCATCTGATGTGAATAGTTTCCATCTATTTTTATCAATCATTGGTATATAACCGCTACAGTAGTTCTGTATTGAAGAATATTTCATAGACTCATGTGGTCATATTCCTCTGTATGAAACACTTGTGATAGAACTCACTTTACCACTGAAGCTGGAGGTGATTAGTTGTACCTAAACTATACCTCCTTCAAATCCGTAAACATTATGTTGTTATTCTTTTCTATGTCATCCATGATATTCTTGAAGTAGTAATTCTGACAAACTTGAAGAAATAAATAATTCATCATTATACTATGCATTCCCACGCTTTATTAATTTATCATGTTGAATCAAATATCAGCATCAATTCAAAGCTTTTAACAACAACTACAACAAAATCTAATGTTTAATAATACCATATTCATAATCTTGTTTATTTAATATATACATTATTTATATTCTGTGTTATCTTGACTTTCAAATTATCAGAAAGAATATCCTGAAATTATTGAACGTTTGGATTTCTTTCATCCTGATTCAACTTCACATCCCAAAGAGCTGCTTAAAAAAGGTTAGATTATATTATAACTTTGTTTGTGTGTATCAGTCTAAAATGACTGTCTTCATCACATCACATTAGATCTTGCATATATATGATATGCAGAGATCAATTATAATTGTAATTATATTGTAATGGTTGTTCACACGCACACTAAGATAAGTTACCGATTGCGATATCTTAACCATCATTTTACACTGATCACATGACTATGGTCTAAGTGCTTTTCCCGAACATACGTAAGCTATGGCTATACATTCATTCATTCTGTTGGTGTATACCTTTTGTACAAATGTGAAGTGCATTGTTACCAGAGTGAATTTCGCCCCACTCACATTATCTGTTCTGTGTTCCTTTAGATAATCATCTTTATTATTTAGATTTTTTTTCTCAGTTCAGCTATTTTTAGTAGGTATTTTAGGATGTAGACTGTTTACAATATATTGCCACTTTGTCACTTTTATTGTCTTTAGATTGTTTGATTAATTCAAATTTGATGGAAAATACCCATCGGGACATTAGTGGGGGAAAAGAACGAGAAGTTCAGCAAAGATGGCGATCTTTTCGGCGATTTCATTCCAGGACATATGTAACACATGTCCTAACCATCTCAGTTGATGTAACTTCACAACCTCGTCGATTGATTTCCCCTGCTTGCCTAAAACTCGACGTCTAACCTCAATATTTCTCACCTTATTATACCACTTTACACGGGAAATAAAACGCAGGCATCTATGATCAAAGACAGCTAATCTTTTCGTGTCTTCCACTCTCAATGGCATTGGATTAGAAAAAAGTTACAACGTATGCAAAATTAATATTTGATAACTGGAGAAATGATTTTTTTTTCAAGTTGAAAAACTATTATCTCCTTCGTTAGTTACTAAGTGGAATTAAATAAATAATAATTGTATCCATGTAAACTAATCTATATAAATGCGATTGTCCAGCTTTTGAGAATGAAATCTCTGGAATGATCGCCATCTCTGCTGAACTTCTTGTTCTTTTCAATCTTATTCAAATGAATCTACTAATTTAACTTTTGAATTGACTCTCGTGTTAATATTGTTATGAATAAAACCGACTCGTTGTGGTTTGAACTCATGAAGCGCATATCTGCATTCTGCTGCATAGCTGCTAGCTGACCAAAGCCTCCTTGAGACATACACACACACAGAGTCACAAAACGCTCCAAAGACTGCCAAAAGATGTTTTTTGTTGTTGGGATCTATGTGGTTCTTTCTATTCAGCAGTAAAAAATGCCGTTAGGCAGTTATACAGTCAAGGTAACTTTCTAATTTACAAGACAATTACTCTGTAGAACAAAATAAGTTAACCGAGATTCATCCATAGGAAGTACCTGAGAATCAATTAGAATATCCTCAACAAGATGAGGTCGAAACTCTGTCCACAAGAATCACACATCACTGCTCCCCTACAGGCAGTCCAAGGTTAGAATGATTTTGATTCACTCAAACAAAATCACATAGTAAAATAATACGTGATCAATGTATCGTACAACCGCAAAGAGAAGGATTAAACTGAAAGATTAAGCAGGGAATATTCGGCATAAGATATTTAAATGTCAGAATAATGACATGCGGTTAACGAGAAAGATGGATAATAAATACAAAGTTAATTGACCAGTTCAAATAAGTATAAGTTTTGTTATTATGTCTTTCAGGGGAAGAATTCGCCAAACAATTATTCCCTTGCAGGTATTGTTACTATTGTTGTAAGAAGTCTTGACAGCATCATATCCAGTGGAGTGTATTAGATGGTTGGACGCAATGGGCAGGAAGCCTTGGACCTACCTAGGTTTCGTGCTAGTTGGCGCTCATCAGCAAGGCGTATATGCAACCTTAAAGGAGCTCATGTCCCTTCTGAGATTCGAACCCGCGTCACCCAGTGCTGCAGTCAGAGACGTTACCACTGAGCTATTCGAGCTCGCGATTGACCTCCTGTAGGACTGTAGTGGATATTTTGATTGGACACCAGTAACTAGTGTGATGTGTCTAGTCCTTTCTTCTCTGCGGACTGAATACTATCAGTCAGGTTTGTAATGTGGCCACCACCATTGTAGGTAGCTTGCCATCACGGTGCACATTGATTTGATGATATTAGATGGTTGGAAGCAATCAGCAGGAAGTAAGCTACCTAGAATGATGGCCACATTACAAACCTGACTGATAGAATTCAGTCCACAGCGAAGAAAGGACTAAACACATAACACTAGTTACTAGTGTTATACAGTGGAGTGTATTTGAAATCTACCATTTGTCTTACCGGAAAACCTTCTTTATGCAGTTTTATCATACCTTATAGCCTAAGTATATTACACACTTTCGGCATAATTTCAAAACATTTCGACTTATTATTTGTTTGTTTCATCTGTCCACCAGCAATTGGCCTTTCCTTCACCGTTTTGTTTTCGTAGTTTGTGTGTTCGTATCTGATGAATTGGCCATTAAGAGGGAGTAAGGGATTTTTAAGGATTACTGTTGTACTTCCTGTGTCTGCTTGAACAATTACAATGGATTTATCGATTTTTAGGTCTTTAAGTGCTTTCATTTCCAACCAAAATCAAAAAATTATCATCGTGTGAGCAAACATTGCAATATATATATATATATATATATTATATATTCGTATGCGGTGTATAATTTGTGTTGTAGTCTACCTGGTGGTCATCATAACATCTGTTATTTACAATCTTGTTTTCATTAGAAAAGCAAGCCTTATCAGTTTATTCAGCTGTTTTTTTTGAACTCTAATTTATATTTTCCCTTATTTTTGTGTCTCAGTTTTTATCAAGGCAACACATTATAGCGAAAGTCAATAAAGAATATTTCGACTCACTGGGTTTTGATGTATGCATCTTGTTCGTTGTCTAGTAATTCATTCGTGATTCCTGATGATTATGATTGGAATAATAATTATTATTATTCCTCCCTTTGGTTCTTAGTGGAACATAGGGCTTCAACTGCACGTCTTCACTTGCGACTTCTGTCTTCTGCTGTACTTTTCACCTGCATCCATGTTAGTCCATACTGTTTCAACTCCTCTTCACACATCTCCTCCATGTCACCCTTGCACTGACGTCCCACTCACCGCTTCCCTTTCGGGTTCCTCTCGGGCGATGGCCTGACGCGCGATGTCACCCAGTGGTCTCCTCAGCGAGTGTCCGACCCATCTCCACTTTCTCCTGCATATTTGTTGGTTGGCAATTGTTTCTTGTTTTGTTTGTTCCCATAGTTCCTTGTTGGTGATTCCTTCCGGCCCGGCCATCTGATCTTCAGTATAGAGCGAAGACAGTTGTTAATAAAGGTCTGCAACAGGCTGTTGGAAATATTCTTTGTGACCCGCCCGCCCGCCAAGTTTCTGATCCATATAGAGGAACTGACTGACTTGACGTTTGTATTGAAAATCCTTCCGAATTTTGTTGTTGATCCTGGCTGAGTGACGAAGATTTCCAGATTGATTTCAGGTTGATAATGTTGATGTGTTTCTCGCCTTCCCGATTCTCGCTCGATTTCACATCCTCGTCCGTTCCGACTGCCTGCAGTTAAGACGCTCCTTAGATAAGTGAATGAATGAAGTAACCTCTTTCAAATTCCTCCCGTTGATGGTGATTGACACTGGATGCTGCTGTTGTTGTTGGTTGGTTGTTTTCATAATCTCCGTCTTGTCTATGTTCACCTGGAGTCCTGTCTTCTCCAGCTGCTTCTTCCACCAGTTTGTCGGTCGGTTTTCGCTTGTAAGTCTTCGATTTTGTGTGACATCAAACATAAACCATCCACGCGCGAAATCCAGGTCTTCTAGGTTCTTCACGTCGGTTCAGTATATCTTTGTCTGCTCGTTTCCCACTGTCTGACGCATTATCCAGTCAGTCCACCACAATTAGGAATATCATTGGTGATAATAAGCACCCTTGTCTGATTCCTGTGTTTACTCCAAACGCCTCGCTGAGTTTTCCGTTGTGGATCACTTGACATGTGCCGTTGTCGTACAGCTGTTGAATAAGGTTGATGAATATTTGGGGTACGCCGTAGTACTCGAGTAGTTTCCAAATTACTTCGCGATCAACGCTGTCAAAGGCTTTCTCAAAGTCTATAAAGTTGAGGTACAGGTTTGATTGCGATTCCATGCTTTTTTCTGTGATGATGATGCGTAGAGTTGCAATTTGGTCAGAACATGATTTGCCTTTCCTGAATCCAGCTTGTTCTGGTTGGAGTTCTGTATCCAGTGCGACGTTTATTCTCTCCAGGATGATGCGACTCAGGATTTTACTTGGCGTCGACAGGAGCATGATTCCTCACCAGTTCTTGCAGAGTCTCAAGTCGCTTTTCCTTGGTAGTTTCACGAGGTAACCTTTCCTCCAGTCAGTAGGCACCTTTCCCTCCTTCTAGACCTTTTGCAATAATGGAGTCAGCATGTCTACTGTAGTCTCTGGGTCCGCTTTTAGTGCTTCAGGGGGTATTCCATCTGATTGGAATAATGCATTTTTATTATTTTGTCAGTCCTCCAGTCAAAGGTAACAGTGCAGAAATGGAATCAAAAGCCTAGGCTAGTCCTCATCAACACATGTTTGATTGACTGAGCTTCAACGCAGAACTTTACTCAGAAGTGCAGCATTTCAAGTCACCTCACATCATATAGCGAGCCAATAGGCATTAGCACCTCGAAGCAGTCTACACCTTCCTACAGGGTGGGCTCAAACCAACAGTTAGAGACATTACAGATTGACTCTAGGTTTTCATTTGAGCACCTTAACCCTTTTTCGATCTTATCCTCTGTCAGCTAACGTTACTCGACGTGAACGGTATAGGTTGGCAGAGGAAAGAAAAAACAGTTAAACAAAAACTATCACAAGCACAAATGTGCAGAAGAGTAACATATGAAAATATAAGGATTTAATAAATGTTGAAGATTACAAAGGATGAGTGCATCTACGCCATTGAAAACAGCCTTAGAGCCATATCACCAAAATTCTCCAGCCATCGGTCCTTAGA